CGCTCGGAGCCAACAAAGTACTATCTCACTGTCCGACCAAGCGTAGACGTCCGTAATGTCGATTACCGACTTCAAGGAGGAGTGAACGTGGTTGAGCAGTCGCGTGAGAAGAGCAGCTCCAGACAGTTCCAACTTAGGAATAGTTAAGCGGGACCTAATGGGAGCCACTTTGCTTTTAGCAAGTACGAGATGGACGGAAGTATGGCCAGAAGAGCTCACCGTCCGCAAATATACAACAGCAGCATAACCCTTCTCAGAGGCGTCGCAAAATCCGTGCAGGGTAACCCTGCATTTCCCTGGAGGGAGGAAGCACCTTGACATGGAGACCCGGTCGATGTCTGGAAGGGAGGACACAATTGAGAGCCACTCTCGCAAGAGAGCACCGCTTATAGGATCGTCCCAGCCCAACCCGGATATCCAGAGTTTTTGAAGGAAACACTTAGCCAAAAAGATGACCGGAGTAATCCAACCATTAGGATCGAAGGTGCGAGCTACAGTTGACAACACAGAGCGCTTGGTCCATGATTTAGGGGGGGGATCGAGCTTGACTCGATACGTGAAGGTATCCTGAACAGGCTGATATTGAATGCCAAGCACAGTCAACAAATTAGGATTGTCAGGGTGCTCGAATAGATGAGGGTCTTGTTGATCCTCTCCAGGGAGGTCCTTCAAAATATGAGGGGAGTTCGACAACCATTTGCGCAGCTCATAACCTCCCGACCTCAGGATGGCAATCAATTCGTCTCGCAATACGAGAGCCTCCTCGACGGTGGAGGCACCCGTACAAATATCGTCCATGTAGACCGAGGTCTCCAAAATAGAAGCCCCCCGAGCGTATCTTAGGCGCTCTCTCTCAGCGAGTTCGAGGAGGGTTCGCATGGCGACATACGGGCTGGATCGGAGTCCATAGGTGGTGGTGTTCAACTCGAACACTTGTATCGGATCGCTGGGCTTCTCGCGCCACAGGATCAGCTGATATCGACGGTCATCACGGTGGACCACTGATTGTCGAAACATCATCCGAATGTCGGCTACAAAAACAACTTGATGCCGACGGAAGTGGGTCAAAATGTCGGATATGTCCTTGATCAATTTAGGACCAGAGTGGAGACACTGGTTCAGGGACACCCCATTGGACGAGGGGGGCGGAGCCCTCGAAAACCACCCGAATCTTACTCCCAGGGGACTTCAAAACCGCGTGGTGGGGGAGGAAGTAGTGTTCATGTGATCGCCAGTCGAAATGAGAAGGTGACATGTGACCCAGCTCTTGATATTCGCGCATGAACTCGACATACTTGTCGCGAAAGGCTGTGTCGCGACGCATACGGCGCTCCATAGAAAGCAACCTCTTTTCGGCCATGGTCCGAGATTGGCCCAAAGGAGGCCGTGAGTCAAGAAAGGGTAAGCGGGTGACAAAGCGACCGTCGACACGGCGGCCGGTATTGTTCTGGTAGAACAACTCGCACTCACGGTCTAGAGGGTTGACTCGAGGCGCGTGTGGCGGCTCCTCAATTTCCCAGAACCGCTGGACGACGTCCGAAAGAGACACGCCCGCCACAGGGAGCGGGTCGGCTGCCTGATGCGGTGGAGACCACAGAACCGGTCCGAAGAAACTGTGCCCAAATACAGTGGACACGGCTGACAAGCCATCGGGCTGTAGGGCTCGTATCTCGCCTAACAGGATGAACCCCAGCACGTCGGCCCCCAGCAACAAATCTATAGGCCCAGGTTGGGACCATTGAGGGTCTGCCGGTCTCAAGCCAGACGTACAACAAACCGCGCTATCATTTATACGGGCATTAGGGAGAAAGCCTACAATATCATCGAGGACATTTACCTTAACTAAGATGTGGAGGTGTTCGCTTGCAGGACCAAACACCAGCCTTGCTTGTCCCCTAGGAGCAGGAGGCTCTGCACCTCCAATACCTACCATTGGACATGATTTAGAGCTCCAGGGGGAGCCCTAGTCTTCCCACCAACCGAGTGGAGGCCACACAGCGTTGTGAACCTGAATCCAATAGAGCGCGAACAGTTAAGCAGTCGCCACTCGGGTTGTACACCTTCACGGCGGCCGTCGGCAATAGAACAGTTTGACAGGTGGACTGCGGACGGCTTAAAGGATCAGTGAAGGCGGCCGTGGTGGGAGCTAGGGCGGCAGTTTCCTAGCTGGAGCTGCCTTCGTCGGACCGGCACTCAAGCCGGGGGTCCGGAAAGCGGAATTCCGGTGGCATCTCACTGGCCCGTGGAAGAAATTCGCAGAACGGGCCGACCCGGGGGGCTTCTGGGAACCTTGGCCTGGAGGCCCTGGACAGCTTCGAGGTCTCAGGGAGCCCGTAGTAGCGGGACCGACCAAAAGGGGGGTGGTACTCCAGTCGCGGCCTCTCTGCTAATGGGGGTGAGAAGGATCTCGCTGACCGCTGAGTGGCCGTGAAGTCCCTCTCGACCCTCCGAGGGGGGGGTGACGAACCCCCCGCCCCTGGGGGGAACGACCCCCCGACTGGTCGTAAGAGGAACCCCCTCCAAACCCAGGGGCAGGGTCGTCGGTAGAAGAGCGACGAGTGTCACCTGTCAGGGGGGTGGCTGGGCGCCCCCGCCCGTGGGGGATGAGGGCCCGGCAGAGCCCCGAGAGAAAGAGCCGTTCGCGCCCAGGCACAAAACGGCGTGGTGATTGCCCTGGCAGTGCGGACAGGGCAGCTGGTGCGGGCAGTCTCGTTGGAGGTGCCTTTCTAAACATGAATAGCACCAGCGGCGCTCCCTGGCGATGGTTCGTCTCGCTGAGGCAGGCTTGCCTAATAATTTAGGGCACGACGTCACCCGGTGTTCTGCTGCTCTACAATAGGAGCAGGGGGGCGCCTTCCTGACCACTAGGCCACTATAAGATGATAGGAGGGGGCGCCCTCCCGCAGGAGCACTACTCGGTCTGAGGGGGGTTGACAACGACTTGGCCGGGGGGTTTCGCCTTTCCCTGGTCACGGTTCGGTTAGCAGTCCGCAGATCTTCGGCGGTGCCCGCTGCGTTTTCGATCTGCCGGCACTGCTCCTCCAAGAACCGCAGCAGATCCCTGAAGGGAGGAATATAGGAGGCGCCGTCTCCGCCGTACCTCTCCTCAAAATGGAGTCGAAGATCGAGAGGTAGGCGGGACAGCACAATATGGAGCAACAAAAAGGACCATTCGTCCACCGGCAAATCCAGCCGTCTCAACGAGTTGCAGGCCACCAAGACCGGATTTACGATGTCCGGTCGTAGTCGGGCCCGGTCCTTTAGCAGCGGGAGGTTCAACAGGAGTTTGACGTGCTCGTCCGCAATTCGCCGTACGTTGGCATACCTTCCGGCAAGGAGGTCCCGAGCGTTCAGGTAGGCGTCGTCCGACACCTTCAAATGGCCGACGACGCCCAAGGCCTCCCCCTCTAATGAGGCCAGGAGATACGCCATCTTCTGGCTTGGTGTTAAATCCCTCCGGGCATCCACTAGGCTGTCAAAAAGTCCCACAAACGTTAACCACTCGGAGAGGACCCCGGAGAACCTTGGCAGGTCCAGAGTGGGAAGTCGTCCCAACAGCTCCGGGTGAGTGGGCTGCTTCCGAGGGGACTCGAGCAGGACACCCAGCCGAGCTTCACGCGCGTCACTAGCCTGCTTGGCCCCTGCCTCAATCAAGTCATCCGTGAGAGCAAAAAATTGCTCATAGTCGGAAAGACAGGAGTCTAGGACTCCCTGTTCCGCTCCCGAAGCCATAATCTCGGAGCATGCCTCCTCCACTACGGCCCTTCGGGTCATGACTTGCTCGAGCCGCTTCTCCAAGCTATGGATCCTATCTGGTCTCCCTATCAAGCTGTGAGCATTCGCAGCCCAGCGCAGTTCCGCTTGCAAGCGAAGCGTCGGTGACCGGTGTGAAGGCATCATTACAAGGTACGATTATCACCGAATTAAATTTAGTACAAATTACTTTACACAATTAGTTTAATTACCACAATAAAAATAATACAATACAAAATACTATTTATCCAATCAGTAAATTATACTACGCAATTAATTTAATTAGTACAATTACGGTTCTATACACCGATCCTATGCTAACAAATAACAAGCGAATAAAACAAATTATTATTACGTATTGCAACAAACACAACCAGCAGCCACGTGGTTACAACCGCTATCTTGCTACCAACTTACGTATTGCGCTGGGAGACTACGCTACTCCTACCAAAACGTTACGTATTGAGCTGGGAGTGGTTTCAAAACCCATCAGGGAAACCACGCTCTGCTACCAAATGTTACGGCCTCTAGTTACCCGGGCAAGGTCGTGGGACCCGGGCCCATCAGGGGTTCCACTCGACGAGTAACAGGAGGTCGGCCTAAATGGCTTGTGGAATATTACACGTTTGCGGTAAAAAGGGAACCAAACAAAACTTACCTATTTCTTCGAAGTAGGGTCAACCCTAGGAAGATTCAGGTGTAAGTGTGTGCGTGCTGTATTGTGTTGTGTTGTTGGTATATTATGTAACCTGACTTCCCGCTGGTTGCAGAACCGCCGATCCCAAGGCTTCACCTCTATTCTTTATATCGAAGTGGCAGTCCGTCACAAAAATTCAAGAGTCTCGGAAATTATACTCGTTTCTCACTTGTTAATTGGAGTCAAGTCAATTATCCTTAGGTTAATCAAATAAATTCCAACAAGATTTAACCGAACGCGCGTTACAACAACTCGACATTTGTGAAAAATGCAATATCACCGGGCCGCGTTGCAAACAACTCAGGTTCGCGAAGTATAGGCGTCAGAGGCGGCGGGCGACTAAGCTATTAACACGACGCGCAACTACTCAGTTCCAAGCTCTGCGGCAAGTGGTCCCAAAACGCCGACGCCGGCGCGGCCGGACGCCGCACCAGCCCGCACCCCCCGCGCCTCAGCCGTCAGGCTCGCCTCCCGCTCGACCCGAGCGCCGACGCAGGCCGCCAAACGTTAAATTAGGCCTAAACATTTAGGCATCGGTCGTTTTTTATCTTTACATATTTTTTTTAGCTAAGCTACTGTATAAATCTGCTGCAAATACATTTTCCGACAAAATATTGGATATGTCATTATTAATATATCTTTTCTTCCGTAATTCTACTAAAATATTTTTAAGAGTGGCATTTCTTTTCTTTAAGCTTCGATTTTTTTGCTTCAGAGTCTTAATCTTTCTACTGTGTTTTCGTTGCAACAAGATCTTTTTTCTTAGTTGTCTCCGTAGTGAAGCCTTTTTAGGTGAATCGAAAATAGAATCTAGTTCTGAAGATAAAGGTGTCATTGAAGCGCTTAGATTAACATTTTTGTCCATCTCACAACCTGAGGCTTCCTGAAAAACATTTATACAAATTAATAAAGTAGTAAGTATGTATCTGCCCCACATACTGATTTACTGGTAGAGAATGCCATAAGGCATAAAGTCCACTGTTTATGCATCTTATTCGTGCAATAAAGAAAATATAAATAAAAATAAGCCAATAGCTACTCGTCAATCGACATAATAATTTACTGTTAGTTTAGTTCCTATATTATTATTATTTTACTACACAAAAGGTGGAGTGAACGCTTATTGGCATTCCCTACCATTAATTTTATTTATATTATGTGACTATGATGATGACTATGACTTAATAAAATACTGCACTACAAAAAAATCGACTGGTATCGAGTGGGACTCGAACCCACGATCATTCACTAACCGGGCGACTGCTCTTCTTTTTCTCTTGTCGTGAATTCGAGTTCTGCTCGATACCAGTCGATTTTTCTACTGCAGTATTTTCTTTTGAAAATAATGGCATTGTGAATGCTTAAAACCACAAATAAATTATGTGACTTGGCTTTGTGTTGATTTATTAAAAACTTACCGGCTGAGGTTGATTTTGCTCTTGACTTAAATCATCACTCTTCTCTTCCGTGCTAAAAACGGGTAGATCCTAGAACACAAAAATTAAACGTAAGAAAAAAAAATTAAAAAAGCAATCCAAATTAAAACAGTTTATAGGTATAGAGCGGAATTTTTTATACCTTAGTTGGAACTGCACCCTTGCGTAATCTACATAGGCCACCTTTAGTAATATACTTTACTTCATCCTCAAAATGTAAAGAACAAATTTTTGTATTTTTAGTGGGCTTCCAACTGCTATCATTTCGATTGCGTCTGATTTTTTCTGCCCAACGATCTGCAATGATCGGATCAGAAGGAAACCTAAAACGAAAATGAAACATTCATTTATTATCAGACTATATAATAAATTTCCTTAAAATTTATCATCGATACTTTTTAAATAAAAACAATGCGTTGTATTTTATTCAAATTTATTGACGTATTTTACTTTTAATTAAACGACAAAATGTGGGAGAATTTTTTTTCACACTTTGGCAACATTTCCATATAATATCATGTGTCAGTTTTTAAAAATTCATATTTATTTTTGATGAATATTTTACGTAAAAATATAAGTTCAAAAGCACTACTTACACGTGAAATGTAATGTCACTATGTTTCTTGTGTTTCTCTGATGTATTGTGACATCCGTTCACTGCACAAACCGTCATTTTAATTAAAATTATGAGAGCTGTTGTTAACACGATACGACACTGAGCACTAACGGGCCGAGTATTGAACTGAGCCATACTGGCTTAGTTTAAGTTGCCTCACATTACGGACGCGGACTCGGCTTCTAGGTGTTATTATTCTATGTCTTACACTATCACCACACGGGATCTGCGTTTAAAACAGCTATGAATAGGGGTGACCTTAGTTAGGAACTAAATCTCTGTCCTCAGAGGTGATAACGCACCTGTAGCCTCCTTTGTATGAAATTAGTTGCAGATGTCGTGAACATGATATTAAAACATTTAATTTTTAATAGCCATTGAACAGTACAATAGGTCAGAGTTTAATGGCCAAGTATTCAAACGCTACTCAATTTTAAGATGTTGCTAAGTCTCGTGGTATTACGATCACATTCTAAAATTGAGCAGCGTGTATTTGGGCATAAAATACCGAAACTTTAGAACATATTTTTGAAAACAACTTTTAGAATCCAATGCCATGCACTTTTTACGGCGAAAGGACGTGAATGCTACTATTACCAAGGGTTCAAATTATGTTATTACTTTTAAAAACAAACTGAAATTGCAGTCATTAGAATCATTTGACGATAGAAATTGTAACTAAACTTTAATGTTAATTAGATAATCTGTTTTTCTATTAGATTCTAATATTAATCAGCCTATTAAAGTTCACTACCTGTTGAAAAGTCAAAACATCCATCCCGGCTGTGTGTCAAGTATCTACTGTCTTTAACTGTCATCCGTTGCGGTGATTCAATTACCGCAATTTTTCGCAATTTATTTAAATACTTTACTTTGGATTATACTTTGCTTTTAGCAATAATGTTATAATCATATATAAATGTAGATGAGAAAAACATGTTCATTATATTTTACATTATACCCATACATTTAAAGAAAACACGATATTAAGTAAATTATTTATCCAGGGCAGTAACTACAAGCAAGTTGCAACATATAAGAAATGACGCCGTTTAGAAAGATACCGTTGAGGACCTACTGAACATAGTCCTCCCCTTAGACTGTCTCTTTAGGGGGATATTTGCCGCAGTCATCACACTTGGTAAGCGGTTTGGCAAACACGTTAAACGGTTTATAAAATAATGCGAAAAAAACCATGATCAATATTTTCTTAAAGGATAGTTAAAAAAACAGTCATCTCACGGTAGATCACAAGCACCATTATTGGCGGGCTCCTAGTTAAAGCGACCTATGTCGCCCCAATGCCCGTTGGTGCAATTCAAAAATACTTTGTATTCCAAGCCGTGCTAATTGTCGCACGACATTTTTTTATTTGTTAGAAAGTGGTAAAGCGTAGCGTTTCAATTTGCAATTCCATTGTTCCAATGATCGAATATAAGTGGTAGAGCCACGCTACAGTAACGTTATGATTGTAGCACGAATGGGTCTGCTCTACTAGGGTAGAACCACTCTGTCACGGAATACAAGTTTTTACTGGAAAACAAGGCATTACATCTTAGTTCTCAGGGGTGATAACACATCTGCGTTTTGATCCTTAATAGGGGATGTAATATTATGTAGACTTCTATGAGCCACAGCATCCACTTACCTTCAGGTGAACTTTGTGCTCGCTTGTCAACTTTATTCTATAAAAAAAATGTGATTGTATTATGAAATATGAAGCGTCCTGGTACTGAGCTAACGGCTGTTATTGATCAATTTCATACTAATTAAATGGTCACAAAAATTATCGCATGTTTTTTAAAACATTAAAAAGAAACAATATAGTTCACGTATTCTTAATTAACGTAAAGAACTGTTTAATTTTTTCTACTTTTTTGTTTTATTTTTGTTAAATAAATAAATCCCTTGTTAGTTTTTAAAAGATTTTATTTGAAAATTGTAACTTTATTTTCTCAATATGCTTCATTTCGAATCTCCCAATAAATTAAACCTACTAATACAAGAATCGACTTCATACTCCGAACAAAAGCTGTAACCGTTTCGTAGCCAGATGGAATTTGGATGAATGAACAGAATAGTATTCTATATATAATTCAAAGGCAGACAATTTGCTAAATCATACTTCGAACACTTCACCCATATCGGGCCTAATACACGATATCGCTAAACCCTTCTCAAGAAATGTATTATTGGATAACCGCGAGTAACTATTAAATGAAATTTGAGTTGGATTTTTACTTAAATTTCAGTACGATTAATACAGGATCATTACTTACGTTCTACAAAATGTAATTTTATGTTCACAGCGCTAAAAGTTTTATGATTTTAACAGTTTCCCTGCCAGCGAAAATACACAAGAGTTGAACAATCGAAATATTCATTTTATACCAGTATGACTCACGGGACAGTGTAATGGTCAAGTTGCACTCGTGTTCATTAGCCTGTAAGCTTTGCACTCTTTAACTAAACCTTGGCCTTTTCAGTAGACAATATTATTGCCAGCAGCCATGATTCATATTCCGGAACGGAATAGAGATAGAGCCGGTATAATTACTGGCTGTAAGGCATTCCATCTCAGTCTACAGAAATGACAATTACAAGGCGTCTGTAGCCCTCTTTACTTGCAGTGAGTTGCAGGTGTCCAGGTGCTGCAGTAGCCACTTCACCAGCCACCATCAGGTTGCTAGATTGTAACTTCGTTTATCACTTGAATTTATTAAAACAAATCTTACTTAAATAAAACTAGATTTTACTGATTTTAGTGCGTATATTCACTTATTTATATTGTCGACGCTTCTAGTACTTTATATCACCCATGATCACTCGGGGGGGACTACTATGGGTGTTGTTAAGTAGTCGAAACGTCGCAAATATAAAATAAGTTAATATACGCGACGAAATCCGGAAAATCTAATTACTCGTTTCAATTTAATTGCGCGTTACTCATACAAAATATACTTCAACACGAAAACTTTTATAAGACGCCTTAATAAATGTTCCTACTAAATAAAAACTAGTTTCAATAGTGTAAATAAAACAAAATTACTCATTTTAATCTGGAGGAAGCCGGGGCTGACTATAAGATCGGGAAGTCGAACACCCCGCCTCCCCTCCCCCCCGTGACCACGGGTGCTGTAAAGTTTTCAAAATGTCAGGAATATAAAACAAGTTAAAATACGCAAAAAATCTGTAAAAATTCGTTTTATTTAAATGTGTAGTGTTCGCATAAATATAAGAAATCATTAAGTTCAATAGTTATAATTTTATTTTTAACGCAAATAGCTACATCATCTGTGTGGTTTTGTTCAAATATTTGAAATATTATAACGAGCTTAACAAAGTAACTTACCAAAAACAATCATTTGCTTAGTTCTTGAATCCTCGTCCATGAATGTTGAAACGACACACGTATAATCACCAGAGATGTCGGTGTTGGGCTTCACTATGCGGAGTGCTCTGTACATTTTTAATGGATCGCTTGATGCTCTGTAGGCTAAGTCAACACGTCCTCTCAATATCCCCATGTCCTGTGGCTTTTGCGACACGATCCATTGGTAGACAGGTCTAGCTTTGTTTCTGAAAAACCACTTCACTACCAGTCCCGATGTGTTGTTACCGTAAGCATAGTCACAGTCTAGAATCACAGCGTCTTGCACACCGTACTGTATTATTTCTGGCACTTCTATTTTCACTATTTCAACTGAAATCAATTCTGAAACAAAGAAATAAAATTGAATGTAATTTACATACTAATATGATAAGTAATAAAAATACATTTGACTTGTAGTTTCAAATAGCATATTGTAAGGGAAATACATATCTAAATATTGAAGTTGCTCTTTTTTAATGTTTTTTTTTTTTATAAAAGACCGGGCAAACGAGCATGCGGCTCATCTAATGGTAAGTGACTACCGCCGCCCATGAACAACCACAACACCAGAGGAATTGCAGATGCGTTCCCGGCCTTCTAGAAAGGAGTAAGCTTTTTTCTTGAAGGTCCCTAAATCATATATCGGTCCGTAAAACTCGCCGGTGGTAAACAATTCCACAGAGAAGTTGTACGAGGAAAAAAAACTCCTAGTAAAACGTACAGTAGTGGACCGACAAGCATCCAGATGGTGAGGATGATATCGAGAATTTTGACGCGATGAGCGTTCGTGAAATTTGGCGGCTGGAACTAATCCGCATAATTCCTCAGAACACTGCCCAATACGATAGAAAACGCAAAGGGATGCAATCTGATCGTTACTGAAAATTTTTCATGAAACCGAAGTAACAAAAGCTTACAGCGCACCTGAGCATAAGTGGCTAATGCAGCCCTGTTAGAAGATAGATGCGTTGTTACCTCTGATAACTAAGATAGTGTAATATATAACATTATTTTTTGTTGCCTTATTTGGTTTTTGAAATAATTAAGGTGTAAAGGAGAAATATATTTTCACATTCATTATAGGAAAAAACATTGTATCAATTTTTCATTTGTTTTAAAAGTCTAAAAACATTTTAATGAAACAATGTGAGCCGTGGTAGCTCAGATGGTTAGCGCTCGCTGTAAATTTCACAGTGCGCAAGCAAACCGGGTTCGATCCCCGCCGACACCAATGAAATTGTTAATTGCAATTTTAAGTGCTGATTTACCACGTGCTCGGCGGTGAAGGAAAACATCGTGAGGAAACCTGCATGTCTGAGGAATAAGAAAAAAATATTTCGAAGACATGTGAAGTTCGCCAACACGCATTGGGGCAGCGCGGCGGACACTTCCTTGCCCTAAAACCCTCTCAGAAATGAGGGGAGGCTTGTTGGACGTATATAGGCTGTAACTTTAACTTTAATGTACACCCGGATGGGATTTAATACTTTCCTTAAATATTGTTTTGGAGGCCACTTCTTTTAATCATTAATTAAGACAGTTTTTACTTACTGAAGTATAAAAATACGTATAATATCGGAAAAAGTGTTATCAATTTATAAAAAAAAGTACCTAAGTAATATTGCAAACAACAACGGGCTAGTTTGACTGACAGCGAGTTAATGGCGGCAAACAAACAAAAAGACCAAGCTTTTTGCTGAATGTAAACAACATAGACAGTACGAAAATTCATCGAAGACATATTCAGTCTAGATGTTTATTCTCAAACTTTTTTCTCTCTTAGATAATCTATAACCATTAGCCCACAATACGCAAAGCATTAATATTTATATAATTCTCATTGAAATGTTGTTGAAAGCTTATTTAAATTCATCCTTGGTCCTACATAAAAGCGGGCTTGACCTAAAAATTTAAGTCATACTTGAAATTTCATCAATAAACGCATTAAATTACGAATTGAAAGTAGATTTTGATAAAGAATTTATAAAGGCCCAGTTCTTATAGCATTCATTTAGCACCATCATCATGCAAAAGTCCACAGCTGGACATGGGCATGTTGTAAGGCAGGGACGGCGAACCAATGGCACGTGTCCCATCGATGGCACGCGACACAATACTTTTTGCACGCCACCGATCACAAAGTTCACTATGAAGTATTTATTATATTACGAACGAACGATAGTTACATCATGGACTTCCGTTGCTAATGACCCATAGTTCGCTTCATCATCGCTATCATCATTACAACCCTTTAGAAGTTTACGCCTCCTCCAAGGAATGCATATGCGTTTATGCATAGCATAATAGTCAATTTCGGTGGCACAATTGTATTTAAAAATTCATTTGTACTATATATAGGATTTTGCAACCCCAATATAATGTCATGGAATACTCAAGACATGGTATCGGGGTCCGGTTAAGACAAGAAACAAATGTGTGAATGTGTAAGATATTTATAAGAAACATGTTGTAAGGCTACAATAAAGACAATACAAAGCAAACAAATAGATAATTCTTAAGCATAATCTACATTAATTTTAGAACTAAAATAGGTAAGCACTTAATATTTAGCCAAATCTAAATTTACACATTAACTGCAAAATAAAATTACAAGCAACGAAACATAAAATTTACTATTAGTTCCTTTATTTTGTACATAAGAACATAAAATTCATCACAAAATTATACGAATTATAAAAGGAAAAGGGGAAAACAATAAAAAACAAAATATAAAAATAAAGAGGGAAAAACAATAAAAAACTAAATATAAAAAGAAAAAGGGAAAAACAATAAAAAAAAAACAAATATATTTCTACTCAGGGCTCGAACTAGGTACCTGAGGAAGTCGCCCAATGCATGTGTTGCCGCTATAAGTAATAAGCCATACTTGTCAACAAGAACCTGTTTCAAATAAGGATATAGTATTATCTTTCACTTTCTTCATCTTTTTAGGACAAATAAATTTTACTGATAACACTTTATATCAGAGATGTAGGAAGGCGTAATTGTCACAATTAACTTAATGGGCGTTTTCACAGACTGAAATAATTGCATAATCTAAGAATATTGTTCCAGAATTACTCAGACCACCAAACAACGTATACTATTAAACGCTTACCCCGTTGCACTTCTGAAATTACCGTTCCACGAATATAAGCTACTATTTAAAATATATATAGTTCACTGATACACTGTTTTAATATATTTAAGCATAGGTTTGCTTCAAATGTCTGACATGAATTACCGCTACGTAGTACTATTATTTATTCAGTTACCACTCGTCGTGAACTCGGTCCTCCGCCGTTCGTCGCCAGTTCCTACCCACCAATCATTTTATCAAGTTCGGAAACAAGTCCCATCTCAATTAGATAATTGAGATGGGACTTGTTTCCGAACTACTAGATAGTTAATTGCTACATTTTTTATATCATCACAATAAGTTATTTGTCTACAACAAGAATCTTCAACAACAGAAATGTACAACAACAGAAGTCACACTAACGTTACTTTAATTTGAATTACGCGTATAACTGAAACATTTATTGTTATACATTGCAAAATTTAATTTGCAATGTATAACAATAAATGTCTTAACTCAAAAGTTTTTATTTATTTTTTTGTAGTAACTAAAGAATTTTGAGTCGATAGTATTTGGTACTTTTATTTTACGCATAATCACGAAGTCAAAATTATTATATGGCACGTATAATAAATAGCTAATTAAACATTTTTTAGAAAAAATGGCACGTTGATACATAAAGGTTTGCCACCCCTGTTATAGGGAGAATTAACAATCGCAGTTCTCGTTGGTCTCCGTATGTTGCGATAAATGTTTATTTTACGTCTACCCGTTAATAATACTGTTGTACCGCCATCTAGCCACGATAGCTCAAGGGTTAAGCGCTAGCTGAAAATTCATAGTACGCGAACAAGCCCTAAACCGTTAATTGTAAATTTAAGTGCCGATTTACTAGATGTTCGGGGGTGACGAAAAATATTGTGAGAAAACCTGCGTCTCTGAGAAATAATAAAAAAATAATATTTCGAGGAGAGACAGCGTGGCAGACATTTTCTAGCCCTTGAAGCCCTCAGAAATAATGAAAAGAGGCCTGTGCCCAGTATCGGGACGTATATTATTGGCTGTACTTTAACTTAATTTATATTTAGCGCCATCTATCGATGATATATTTCTGATATTACCCAAAGTCGCTTTTCACGAGACCTACGGGATGATACGGGTTTGTGTTCTCTTACACCGCCACCACACTGCAATTTTACTTATTAGAAGCATATTTATTCTTTATAATAATTTAAAAAAAATACTAATCTATTATCTCTCTCACACACACATACACACACACACACACACACACACACACACACACACACACACACACACACACATACATACACTCACATGCACACACAGACTAATAATAGCACCAGATTTCAATAAATATTAAATACTAGTACATCTACGTGATAAAAGTATTGTAATTACAACCATAGGGCAGAGACCTGGTGGCCTGAAATACAGACGTAAAGCCTAGCTTAGGCACCAGTCTCCCACAGTATAATATTAAGGTGTAATATTTTAATATTATGTACAATAATTCTTTAATATTGTGGTGAGAAAATAAATCATTTACTATTCTTATTATTGTTATGTGGGGTATCTATATAAATATATAATTATAAATTAAAATGAAAAGATAAATATACATAAATATCAATAAAATAAAATAAATACAAAAACACATAAATAAATAAAAGCCCAACCAGATGGAAGCCCTCGGCAGGGGAGACCAAACGGCCGAGGGTTAGGGGGAAAGATAAAAAAACCGGCGAACGATGCGGGCGGTATCGAGGAGCACCGCCTTCTGCATTTGAGCCCGAAGCGGTCCGTCACGGAGTCCCAGTCGCCTCAGATGACCCGGGAGGTTGACTGGGATTAGCCCATTCGCAGAGACGACTACAGGAATAATTTCGGCCGGTATACCAACCCCACATGTCGGTCACCTCGTGAGCCAGGTCCAGATATTTTTTTCGTTTATCTGTTTCGGCTTTCACGAGGTTCTCGTCATATGGAATGGCAATGTCGACCAAAAATACCCTTGACTGTGCCTGGTCCATCAGCACAATATCAGGCTTATTCGCAATTATTATTATGTATATAATATAAGGCCTTATTAAAAAGATCTTCGTAAGAATATATTTGTAACAAATACCTGTAAACAGTTTTATAAGTATGTATTTCAAATAAACCCTCATTTACCTTAAATATTTACATAAAAATTTAAATACATTATGGAAAGCAATAATATCATGAATAAACCCTATTGAATTATGACTACCAACATTTTTTTTTACTTTAATTGTTTCACCTAAATACAATAGAATAATGATTAATTCAGTAAAGTCTGGTATTTTTATTATTGAAAATTGACCTTGAAGTATTTTCAAATATTTTTATAGGATAATGGTGACAAGAGAGCACACAGTCCGTTTGATGGTAAGTGGGCGCTGTGGCCTATCATAGACATCTATATGTATCCTCAATTAAGAATAAAAATGCAGATGCGTTGTTACCCCTAAATACTAAAATAGAATGCCTCGTTTCCAGTAAAAAGGGTGATTGGTTCTCTACACGCACCATACGAAACAACACTAAGCTGCTATTTTACGCTGGTATTCTGTGAGAGCGTGGTCTTACCCCGGTCGAGCCGAACCATTCGTGCTACAGCCATAACATAGCTACAGCGCAGCTCTACCACGTAAATATTTTTGCCATTTCAACTTACTGCTCCTTTAAGCTATGGCAGTTACTGTAAGTTCTACCGCGGACTTACTCATTTCGAAGTCTTTGCACCTATCATTTATATATATTTATACATACAATATATATATATATATATATATATATATATATATATATATATATATATATATATAAACACTCACGCCTGTCACCCAGAGGGGTAGGCAGAGACTACAGACTTCCATTTGGCACGATCCTGACACACCTCTCTCGCCTCCTTCACATCCATACACCTACGCAAACATGCTCGTCGGTTAAGGGTACTCCTAATTTGGCCCGTTTTCAATAAATCGCCAATTTTGTCGATAAATTTTCGCCTAGGACGTCCCTTTCCGACTCTGCCATTCACTTCTGCAACATAAATTTTCTTTGTCACTCTTTCCTCATTCATTCTTTCCACATGACCAAACCACCGAAGCATTCCTTTCTTAATACTGGTCACAACATCATCTTGCAAACCACACTCTTCTCTTATTACACAATTTCTTATCCTGTCATTCAGATTCAGCCCTAACATACTCCTTAACGACCGCATTTCTACTGCGTTTCTTCTACTCTCGTGCTTCTTCTGCCACACCCAACTTTCACTACCATACGTTAAAGTAGGGACCAACACAGCATTGTGAATTGCCATACGTGCCTTTTTCGACACATTTTGACTCTTCACAATAGAGTGCAAGGCCCCATTTACTCTATTTCCTGCATTCACTCGTCGTTCTATATCCTTATCATATCTCCCATCCCTGCTAAATACGCAGCCCAAATATACAAACTCATCTACTTGCTCGATCAACTCCCCTTCTATTCTTATTTCACAAATTGTTTTACTTTCTTCTCTTTCAAAAACCATAACCTTCGTCTTACTTGCGTTCACTTTTATACCCCTTTCTTTTAATGATCCGTTCATTAATGTAACCATCATTTGCAACTTGGCCGCCGACGACGCAAGAATAACTTGATCATCGGCGTACAAAAGGCATTTGACGGTTAACTCACCCATTCTTAATCCGCATTCTTCAACTTTCAAATTTTGCAAACAACTGTCCAAAATAGGTTGAACAGCCACGGGGAAGCCACATAGCCCTGTCTGACACCTTTATGGATGTCAAACCAGTCCGAGTAGACCCCGTTGATCCTAACACAAGCACTAGAGTCCCTATAAAGAGACTCCAATGCCTGTATCAAGAAAGCGCTCAACCCAAATGAGTTCAGTGTTTGCCATAGCAAACCTCTATCCACTCTGTCATAGGCTTTTTCCAAGTCCATGTCCATTTATACTAAATAATTTACTTATAAAAACAAAGCTCTATCGGGAAGCAACAAAATAAGTTATAAAGAATATGTGAAACGCGGTTATTGCCGTCAGCACTAAGCCAAATAACATAACCTACAAAACATTGATTTCAGTGAATAATTTAGTAGCTGCTATTCGTCTACATCCCTCATATAATTCGACCTGAATGAGTGAACGTTATCATAAACTATTTGTCAAACGAAGCCGTTGCATCAATTCTTTTTGTTGAATACATAAAAATATTTCTTTGTACGCAGACCCGCTTCCACTAAATTAAGACAATGAAAATTAAATAAGCCTTATTACAGAGTCCACCAATTTTGAGGAAAATAAATTTCTTTGTATTAACTTTTCAATTGTATTAAATAGATTTTTTTAACTATTCAGTGACCAGTAAACGTGTATAAAAAAATAAAGAAAAATTTGTGCTTTCTGTTATTTTATTTTTAACGAAGTTACGAATGATATACATATATTTTCTTCGATAAGGGTGAAGTTGTTGGTTTATGTCGAAGAAAAGAAATCATTTAATTCGTTGAAACTAACATGAATACATGTTATATATAATTTATATTTTATCTATTAAAATTATCAAAAGTTAAATTTACAACCTATATACCTCCCCTGCTGGGCACATGGCCTCCTCTCATTTCTGAGAGGGTTTTAGGGCAAGAAAGTGTCCGATTCGCTACCCTAATGCGTGTTGGCGAACTTCACATTTCTTCGAAATATTCTTTTTTTCTTATTTCTCAGACATGCAGGCTTCCTCACGACATTTGCTTTCACCGCTAAACACGTGGTAAATCAGCATTTAATATTGTAATTAACAATTCCATTTGTGCCGGCATGGATCTAACTAGGATTGCTCGCGTACTGTGGAATTTACAGTAAGCGCTAACCATCTGAGCTACCACGGCTCAGTATTTTTTAAGTTTTGACTATTGAATGAATTCAACCACTGTCGCCATCTTTACACGCTTTCGGTATGAGATGCGTGAATGTGTGTGAAACGCTCGATTTTTAACTTCGCGGGCTATATATGAAAACCGATTTTAAAGTTCCAAAAATTAGTAAATATGTTAGGTAATTTTCTTTTACATTTCTGGAGTTTTTTGGAGTTTACTCTTAAGAATCGTCTTATTTAAAGCGCACAGTATGAAAAATAGATGGGTAGTAGGATTAAGCGTTAACAAATAGTAAAGCCTTCATGGTTTTCCTCTTCGCAACATATTCTTGAAAAAAAAAACTTATTTTAAATCTAGTAGAACACTAGGGACAATTAGATGTTATGGTACGTATCATATCGCTAGATGCGATGTTTCAAGATTTGTAACTCATATAACTTCTGACGCTCATGTATCATATTTTAATTTCCACAAACCTATTGTCTCAGTATTTAACAATGACGTTACTATTCACGAAACAAATAATGTAATACTAAACATATATTTATTTCCTTTGCTTATTGTTAAGACAATTTTCAGCAGTAAACTCCAGTAACGCGACGGAGCTCACACACACATTTCTATTAGACAATTGTGCTTTTGACGTCACGTAAATTCTTTTTAATTTTTACTTGCCATTATTGTCTTCTCAAGTTTTTTTTGTGGAAATAGTACAAGTGTTTATACACGTCACAAAAATCTCTCTAAAAACTTTCCAAGTTTATCTTATCTAACTGACCATAGCATATGTAAAGTGGTTAGCATTTTTTCTTTTTTGTCGTAAGCTCATCTTTGCGTAAAAAAGAAGATGACATTACTTATATGTAGTTAGCCGAAGGCATAAACCAACGCGCACATCACCTATCCATCTGACCTCATTCTTTTAACAAATGTCAGAGGCGTGCTCTCAAGAAAATTGGTAGCGCCGAACAACGGCATTTATTTTCCGTAGAAAATAGTAATATACTGATATTGCGTCGTCAAATGTTACGACTGATATTATAGTTTTAAACATCCGATCTCCAATTTGCCATTGTCGTTCTACATTATGTACATTTATGTACTAGCTAGAAAAACTAAGAAGAACTACTTTAAGGTAAAGACACTCAAAACTGTGGGTGTAAAAATATAAGTGTATAATATATTTAAGTAAGTTAGTGAAAGTGTAAACATAAGGCAATCTATAGAGTTCAGCAGTGAACTTTTATGAGCTGTAATGGATGTAAATAATTACAAAAATAACTACCTTGTTGTTTATTATTTCAATGAATGATAAATTGATCAATCTTAATATATATTAGAGCTAAATTGATAACCTTCGAAAATTCAGTCTTGAAACTTAAACCTTTAATAATAAACAGTCCTTATTTTGAAATTTACCATACTATTATATATATATATATATATATATATATATATATATATATATATATATATATATATATATATACCATTATTACAAAAAGAATATAAATTGGAATGATTTAATTCTTGTTTTGTCCTTAATGAAATACGACCTCACACTCGTTGATTGCCGCTTAAATAAATTAAATATTTATTATGTCTGTAATAAATCCCATCCCTTTTAGTAATATCTTTTGCACCATAAGAATGGAAAAAAACTAGGTAAGATATTTTCCAAGATGATAAAAATGCTTCGTGGTATTCATTCAGGCCACGTGCGGGCGATTTCAGTAGTTAAAGTTATGACAATTTATAGTTAAAGTTAAATGTAATATACCTATTTTGAAACATTATAAAAATACTTTTGATAAAAATAAACATAATGGTTTTTAAATATTAATTATTAAAAATATAAATTACATAGCTTAAATTATTTATTATTAAAGGCGCAATGAGAATCCGTCGAATTTCTCCAGTCCTGTTCGGGTTGACGCAATACACTTTCTCGAATTAAAATTGTCGTCAAGACCATGCATGTGTCACCACGGTTTTTTTCGGACACGTGGTAAATTATATAACTACATAAAACATAAAACTCCATATAAGAAATACAGTCATGTCGGGAAACAAACATAGGTTTTTTGTATGTGAAATTTAAGGTCTGAAATTTTAAAATACTTAACTTTGAAATTTAGCAATTTAAGTAGAGACATAATTAAAATTATAGAAATCGAAATTAAATTAAACATAGACAATTAAGGTTTTAACATTATAAATGTTAATATATGTAATGAAAAGAAAAATTTTGTTAAATAATCTTCATAATGATCAAGATCAATCACTAGTTACACGATATAGGAATCCGACTCGGAGGGGCGATCTGTCAGCCTCAGAGGTTTAGTATTAGCGTTGACCAGTTTGGGCTACACGAACTTCCACGTATGAAAATGTCTCTATTTCCCCCGGTTTAGAGCTTTGTGGGATATTTCAACACTATGGCATGCGGAGAATAAGACGATATGAAAGTATACTTCATTTTTGTCTCGGTCTATTGTGTTTCTTCTGCTTAATGTTAAACTTTTATAAATATACTAATATTTTCCTTAGGAAATTCCTCATCGGATGTAAGTGGCGTATTGTGCTTAACGTGATTGTCACAATAACTTTTTGATTCTTTCTATAATCACATGAGAACTTCTTCCACACTTTTCTAATTTGTGTTTGGTCACGGGGGTTCATATCCTTAACAGATCACATGTTCTCAATTTGTGAAGAGGCAAAGCCCTTGACTCTTGACTTCGACGGCTCTTCTCAGGTCTAAATTATTTGTATCAATTGCGTTGTAACTAAATAAATCACATAAATATTTGTAGAGCCTATAAGTTCGTGAAGT